AAAGTTCAGAAGTCGTTTGATTTGTATATATTTTAAATTTAGATTTTTTGAAGTTATACTTCTTTAGGCGCGTTATGAAAAATTGATGAGAGTGAAATTTTACGATGCGCGCGCACCGTTACACAAAATTAACAGAATGAAGTTGCCCACGGAAGATGCTACGGCATTGGACATAATTTAAAAACAACATTCGAATAATAAATAGAATTTATGTTACAGTTAATGTAAGAGAATAATAATAAATATTTATTTATTTAATTTTTCAAATGTAAACTGAACTTTATTGACTATAATGACTGCTTTTCCAGTCTTTGATTATTTAATTGTAATTAATTATTTGCATGCAATCAAAAACTATTTTTAATAATGCCAAAGAAGTAGAACTTCTTACGCGCGTACATAAGTACACGCACCCTTTTTTATACCACAACAAAGTAGTTTCTTGTAGTTTAGGCAATCAAGCCTACTGATATTAAGGGCAGTCATAGCAGCCCATGGACACCCGTTTTAGTGGATGCGTTGCCGGTCTATGAAGGAGGAGACTCTTTTTAAATAATTAGAGATCGTATCTCCCAGGGAAGACTTCCTCCGAAAGACGATTCCCCAGTTGGCTAGTTTGCAAAATAAATTTATATCGTTCGATTTATAAAACTTATATTTAAGCTACCTAAATCTAAAACTAATCGTTTATATTGCTATATCTAAATCTATACATAAAAGTTTCTACGTTATATCGATAATTTTTTTTTTAAATGTTAAAATCACTTGTGTAAGCGATATGACAGAGAGTTATGAGTTTGGGCGGGAAGTGGCGAACAGCTTGCACCGTAAATCAAACACATTGGGGTGGCTATCAAACATACAAATTGATCCACATTGTTGTTCCTTCATTAGACGTTGGATAATTATAGAAACCTAAGCTATCCTAGTTTCACACTGATAATTTTGTATATTAAATATATCCAATATATGGATTATATATATATATCTAATATTATAGTATGGATTGTTCGTCTTTTTGTGTCATTTTTGAAGTTATGCTTTTTGCGTGTTAGGGAAAAATGATGAAAGTAAATTTTTACGATGCGCGCGCACACCGTCACAAAAAACCGACATCCTGAAGTTAGCTATAGCCAAGATTTTAGTTTTTTCTATTGTTAGTGTAGTTTATAATTTATGAATCGTGTTTACGCCATAAACTTTTTTGGCGTAAAGAACTTCTGACGCGTGTATATGCACACACCCTTTTTTAAATAGAACAGGGTTAACGGGCATGGGTTGTACCTGATGATAAATGATACCACCGCCCATGGACACTAACCTTTCCAGAAGGTTCACATGTGCGTTGCCGGCCTTTTGACATACCCATGTCATACTTATAAGTCTCAACCCTGAATCCAAGAAACTTGAAGGGATTTGTGAAACTTTTGTATTTCCATTTGGTTTTCGTAAAATGTGTACGTATATAGTTTGTAATTTGCTGAAACGTTGTTTCTTTGTTGTTTTAACTCGTAAACACTGTTTACGGGTTAGAAACGGTTAAAGTTCCAGGGCTCGGTTATATCTAACGAAGCATGGCAAACAAATCACCATTAGTAGTAGCAGATGCGACGGCGCGCGGCGCAACACAACTCTGACGCAGTTACGTAACATAAAACTTAACAGTCTTATTTTTAAAGGCACTGTTTTGTCCCATTTATTTATTTGCAAAGTGTCATAAGAGAGAAAAGGATCAAACAATTATAGCCATTTCAGGCTGACGATCAACAGTTACCTCATTCATAAGAACTACTTATATCAATTTGACTTGATAGATTGCAATCTTTTACTAGCACTTGCACTCTTTCGTATCTTTTATCTCTTTCTGTCCAACCTTGTTTACGCTGTAATGAAAAGAGATACATGAGTAGTTTGTGGAGTTCTAGATAATTAATTCTGTAAAAGGGAGACAAAATTCTGTCACTTTCCGATATATTTATGTGTCCTACCACATGATTAAAAATCTAATTTGTGTGTTATTGAAAATACAGTAACTTTAGTAATAGCTTGCAAAAAGTGTTTTTATTGTTTAAAAGTTGATATTAATTAGCCTGTTACTGATCTTCATTAATCTTCTATTACGTGAAAGTTTGCTAAGCGTAAAACAAAATTCTGTAGAATGTTACAGAAGAATGCAGCTTATATCAACGGCAATTTCACTTCAACTAGGCCAACCAGGCTACACTAGGGTATCTAGAATCTATCCAATAATAGATCAGCTGGCAGGCATCAGTCAATCAGCAGTCAAAACATCGCAGTTCCCTGACAGCGACATCTAGCGTGCGTTCCGCGAATCTTGCAACAGGAAAGCAAATATTTATGTTACAATACATTAGCTAATAGTTATACTCGACTTTACTCATCTCCTAATTAAAATGCAATTCAAAGTAAATGACGATAAAACAATGACGTATTTGACTTACATATACAATGATGCTGAGCCAGGGCCAATTACAACCTTAACACCATTACACACTTAAAACGTACCTTGTTCTTTAAAAGAAAAACAATTGTTATCTTTCATTCTTTTTTATATTTTTTGATTATTGTTATTTTGTGTGTTTCTGTGTGTGTGTTTTGTTAGTAATAAATTTAATGTCTGTGTCTATCTATTTCTATATAACTGATACTGGGGCGGTCGCAGAGCAGGCGGAAAATAATAAACGGCTCAAATCTCGTCTTTCGTCCTACTTCGATTTTGTTCTCTTTGGAGCAGAGACTCTTGGGCCGTGGGGTTCAAATGCACAGGTGCTATTGGCGCCTGGTAGATAGTACCGGTGACCCCAGAGCTATGGTGCTTTCCTCGCTCAACGAATAAGTATCGCAATACAGCGAGGAAATACTGCCAGTGTTAACGGTACACTGCCACAGGGACCAAACTTTTTAAATTTGTTTTAATTTTCTTTTTGTTAATACTAAATTATTTTTATTAGTACTGTAATATGTAGATTAAGAAAATTGTAAAATCTGTATATTTGATTGTTATATTTAGGTTTTAATAAACGAAACACTGATACTTATCCCATTTAAAAAAAGAAAATTATAAACGCAATTTCCGCATACAAGACTTCAAGACTTAGAGATCCGGAGTTCCATTTCCGGCAAAATTATAACTCTTTTGTACACTGAAGGCCACTCAAAATATTACAGTCCTTCCATAGATTATATACAAATTCACTATATTATATTTCTCTTCACGAAATTTTAATTTAAAAATAGAATTTCTACAAGGTAATTCACCCTTCTCACTCTCTCTCAATCGCTCTCTCCCTTTTCTTCGATAAAAACGGTGCACATCTTCGTGACACTAATATTATTATTATTGCGTTTCATCCGTAAAAAAATTACCCTCATGCACCTAAAGAAGTTTCACTTTAAAGATACGTAAGAAAAGCAATATATTAAGATTTTTTTACCGGTTTTAAGGTAAAGTTGTGTTCTAACGAAAGCCTATTCTAGCCCATTCTGCTTTATGGGCTAGCCTGTTCCACTCTTCGGCATGCCCAAAAAGATGTAATTTTACTTGATAAAGTATACGTCCCCACCTCCTTTTGCCTCTTCTTGAATACCATTCTAATACATCTGAACACTAAATAAAGTCACAAATAGAAGAAAACAAACTCTGACCTAACAATTCCGTTCATCATTGTTTGTGACAGTGTCGATTCGTTTCTTAATGAGTTACGCTTGGTATGTTGACATAAGCGTGATCAAAGTGCTCTTTGCTAATTTAGAATCCTTTCGATAAACAATATAAAGTGCGCGATGTGTCATGAATGAGTGGATGGCGATAGAGAGCTTTAAAATCACCAATTATCGTGTCATATTCAAATTTTCATTTCATTTCAAATCCAAAACCCGATGCTTTACATGAATGAAAAATAGTTTTTGTTGTTAGAGTCCAATAATGGTGTTTAAAATTTATGAAAAAATGTTAATCAAAATATATTTATAGTAACGAAGATTGGTTTAAGCTCTTCAAAAAAGTCTTTTAATAATTAACAGTAATCTTATAATCAAGGCAAATCATATGTCCTGTTGAATTTTTTCAGGAGTTTCATCTGATATTAATTGATAATGGACATGGACACTCTCAATGTCCGAGGCTTCGCGAGAGCGTTGCCGGCCTTTTCTGAATTGGTAAGCTCTGTTCTTGAAGGACCCTAAGTCCAATTGGTTCGGAAACACTTCAGTGGGCAGCTGGGACCACATAGTGGTGGTCCGCGGCAAAAACTGCCTTAAAAAGCGCTCGTCGAGGTGATACGGGTGGAATTTCTTATTCTGCCTCGACGTCCGATGATGAAACTCAGCTGCAGGTTCCGTTACAATTTAATTTTAGAACAAGTCTTAGCAAGTTATTTTCACATATAAATAAAAAAATACGATTTTTATTTAAATTTCGACGATACTATTATACACATAGATTTTAAAGTAAATAAATTATGTATCTTAAAATACAATTAATGATGCATTTGTGTACATTTGGTGTGGCATTACGAAGTGGTTAAGGGCACGTAAATCAACGTATCTTGTGTTATACATGTGTCGCGTTTCGATTAGGGTTGGCACACTTGCGAAATTGGGAATAATTGTCTTTGAAAAAAGGTTTCGTTTTTCATATGATTTTTTTAAGCAAACATCTTACTTGCGCTACTACCTAAAATAAATAAATCAGTGGCGCTACAACCTCTTTAAGTCTTGGTCTCAGATTTCTGAATCTGTTTCATGATCGTTTTTAAATCTAATAGTTGATCAGCCTCCAGTGCCTGACACACGCCGTCGACTTTTTGGGTCTAAGACATGTCGGTTCCCTCACAATGTTTTCCTTCACCGTTCGAGCAAATGTTAAATGCGCGCTATTACATATTAATAATAAAAATCTTCTTTAATTATTTGAAAAGCAGCAGCCCTGTAAAGACACCCGCGCTGCGCGGGCGCACTAGATTTATAGTGTTCAATCAATGCGGATTTATTGCTTAGGAAGTAACTCCTTTTGTACTCCAATAATTGGCTGGCTACCTGCAGTTGCGTAATTAGACAGTCGTTATGTGTTTATTAATGGGATCATTTGTAATACATTGGGATCATTTTTGTGTCCTCATTGTTGCTTTTTGAAGCTAATAATAACTTTGTCTCGCTGCATAGTTCGTTTATTGGCATTCATAGACATCGATATAACATTTATTACTAACAAAAACATTCATTTATTTATTTTCAACGTATCAAAATAATTAATAAAGCGAGGAAATTATGCATTAATGTCAGTTTTTAAATTTAATTATTTTTAATTAATATTTCACAGACTAGGTTTAGATTCTATAAAATAAAACAAGTGAGTATTAAAAACTCGAAAAACTCTATCCTTTACGTTTTGTTGAAATATAATCGTTGGTGAGGAAAAAACAACTTTAAAATATAGCTATTTGATAAAAATTAATAAAAAACGTGGTGTGTTTTTATATACACATTTCTCTGCATATGATAAATGCTTGATCATTTAATTAGTACTACTAAAATATCGATTTGGCAAGTGCAGGGACATAAAGAGAATTGGAGTAGAACCGACATGATACATGAACGCGAGCAATTATTATATTTATAAGTGCAATTTATGCCTGGCTACTTAGGCAACAATTCTATGTTTAATTGCATACCTAGCAAAAATATATATTTAAAGAATTATATATATTTAAAGAATTTATCTAATGAATTTGGGCAAATGCTTAATACTTGAAGGATTGCGAATGCGTTAACGTCCTGCGTTGTTCTGTGTAGCTTCCAATAGCGATAGTGATACGATAGCTGATGACGTGTTTGTATGCCATTACGAGTGCTTGTCTTGGGGCCGCCCTGTATAAAAATTCAGCATTGATGTTGGGACCGCTAACTTAAAATAAATCATTATCTATCACAAATAATACTGAAATTATGGTATACTGAAGAGATGTATTAGAAATATTGGATATGGACCTGAAATAGTGGAGTTTATTATAATGGTCTGAAGAGAGGATGGTGATGGTTACTATGACCATTTTTAAACAGCAAACAAAGAAACAAAACAAATAAATAAGGAAACAATCACGGTATTGTTTATATCGTATCGTATAACTTTAGTAGAATAAAGAATAAGGTGACTTGTAAGTATTTTTTATTTTGAAATTCACTGCATTTTAATAGTAAAAATAGTAGATTTTTTTTTGTATTTAGGAAGACACTGCATTTTATAAGCAACATAAATGTAAGAATTGTAATACGCTTTACTGTATTCACAAATTACCGGATTTTCGCGATAGGGAAAAGCGAAAGCCGTGTAAGATTCGTGTAAGTCGGGGTTCAACTTTGCATATTTGTATAAAGTTTGTGTAATCCGGGTTAGAAACCGGTAAATAAAACAATAAATAGAAGAAACATGTTTAGTAAAATACTGTTTACGAATAATGCTTGAATTTAAAGACTAATGGCCTTTCACAAATTCCGTAATTTTTTATTTTCCTTTTATAACTGGACTGTTTGCTTGAGGTTAGATTTTTTTCGCAATTCATAAATTATTGTTTTCAATTCAGTCTTTGATAATATTTCGTTTACACTCCACAACCGAACACGTCAATCGCTGTTGATCAAACAGCAAAACCGCGCCTCTCCGAATTCGCGCAAAACGGGGTAGCGTAAGTCAAAAGCGAAAAATTTTAACGTCATATAAATTAAAAACTAGTCACAGGTAAACTATGTTACCCAATAAGTGTGTAATAATAGTAAGTGTGTTGGTTTTAATAATAAGTCATAAGCAATAATCAACAAACAAGTTTCAACAAATCTTTCCCCACATCTGTCATTTAAGAGAAATATGAATGTGACTTTATTTTTTCGCGATATGATTTAAGAAAGCACATTACTGCAATGGCAGCTAACAAATAATCATAAATGACAATTATGCCCATTCACCGCTACATATGAATTTATTGTTTCCGAGTGCCAAGTTGGTAAACAAAATTTAATAATACAATATAGTGGCATGTTGTTTGAATGATTACCAATTAAAAACTAGCAAACATCTACAGTTCGAAATATTTTGAAATTAGAATGCTTTTGCCGAAGTTCATGTCTAATAGCTATGACTATGACAACTAAACATTAAAAGATAAAGGATATTATAATCTGTCGATTTTAAATCCAGAAAACCGATATTCCAAATTAATACGCATATTTAAAATATAAACTTATTAATTAAATTCAAATTTACATTTAAAAATATGATAAAAACATTGTTTTTTCACATAAAAATATAACTACTAAATTAAAACGCGTTTAATAATCACAGTTGGTTTACGATACTTGATATGGAATATTAAAAAAAAATATACATTTTTCATTTATAAATTGTGTAATAAGTAATAAATATAATTTTACTCTAGTTTTTTGATTGAATTTGATGACTGAATTTACAGTTCATCACTAACCCGTTTCATATCCGGATCCAAGTTCAGTCCTAGCTTAGCTTAACAGTATATTTACTCTGTGGTATTGGAACTCGAAAAAAAGAAAAACAATTCTCAAAATAACCACAGATCATTGTCGTTTCTACGTAAGTATAGTTTTCATCACCCGTCGTTATTTATAATCCGCTCTTGACAGCCGCCGATAAAATTATTGTAGCCATTTCAGATGCGTTTTGGATTTCCCGCCATTATACCAATTAGTTGAGTGAGATGTCCGTTACAGAGAGGACGTTTATGATTTTTATGTGTTCTTTTATTTATTTCGATATAGAAAAGTTTTTGTGCAAAAATGTTGGTGCCAAGTGTATTTCTAACTTAAAAATACTTTTTTAAAGTATTTTCAACGTGTAAAATGCTTCAAAATGCCGTGTGGGTGTCATAATAAAGCTTATTTTCCTGTGAAAGTTTTTGTATATAGCAATATATAAATGGAATGGAGCAGATAGGTTGCAGTCCGATTTTGAATGAAACTAGTAAAAACTACTTCAAGGGCTCTACTATTGATTCATCGTTTGTTAGTAGTAGATAGCAATATCCTAGTTTTAGGTTTATTTAATATTAGAGGTACTTTAGGTACATATTTTAACCTCACTAGACATCCATGCAACTACTTCTAATTTGAAAGAAATTTAATTTTTTATTTGAAAGTGTTATTTATGTAAATAGTGGTTTCAGCGTTTAGCGGGATTAACTCAAACAAGAACTTATTGATAGACAAGATAGCATCATAAACAATGATTAGCCTAGTTTTATTAGTTAGGATTACATTGACCATTTTAATGGGTGTAATTTTAAATGTAATGGCCCATTAAATTACACCCATATTATTTCTAAGCTAAGGTGCCTTCAGCTACGATATATGCGGTTATAACAATTGATTTAAGCAGTGACCTTTCCGCTTCCGGTTAGATCTATAATGATACTTCTTTAAGTTTTTTATTTTAAGCTTCTGTAAGCCTCTTGGCATTTAGCATATTTTATGATATGATTTTGAGGCAATTATCAAACTGCGGCGTCTCTAGTCGCCTGAAGTCTCCTTTTGTATTGTTCAGTTGATCTTTTAATGACTTCTTCGACAATGGTAATTCCCATCGCGCACCGCTCATATTTCGCAGTGTTTTGTTTTGTCGCAGTGTCAGTTCTTTAAGCTAAGTAACTATTGTAACATTTGTTTCTATAACCCCTTAGGTATCGTATCAAATCACTTTCCGCGCGGGGCCTTCCATCTCCACTCTTTAGCGGAACGAGTGAGCCGTGATCAGGAACAGCTCCCAGTTCTGCCACCATTACACAACACACCCAGAGATGTTAACGTACCAGTGGTATACGCAGAGGTTGGTACCAAATCTTAATAACGTTAAATGAAATTTTTCAAGTAGTTTAAATTGCTTATGCTATGTGGAAACACAAAACGTATTATTATTGCAATTTAGTTTTAAATTAAACATATATTTAACTGTTAAATTTAAAGTTTAAAACATACCTTTATATACAATACGATTTTGTTACCACAGGGCTTCTCGCCTCACAAAAGTAGTTAATACACATCAATATATATTTATTTGTTTTAATAAATTTATTATTATTTTAAAAAATACGTTGCTAAGCGGGCTTTATCTTTAATGACCTCAACTGGATCTCTCTCTCAATGACCTGCTTATGAATTCTACATGTCCACTCGTAACTTTTTATTGGCTGAAATGGTACCCAAAGGAAGATCCAGCTTATGTTGTATGTAAGCAAGTTACTGGTACGAACGGCAGGTCTGTAAGTAAACATGTCTTACATTGGAAACGCTTTACCTGGAGTTTCGAGTTCTAGATAGCCTCCCAAAGATACAATATTAGAAAGATACATTCAGATTTATAGTTCTGAATGTCACCTAAGTTTTTCGTGAATTCATTAATCATGTGCACTTATATTCGTCTCTTGAAGGAGTACCTAATAATAATGTTCAAATAATAATTATTCAATGGAGTTTCGGCTAGCACAGATCGTACCCTTAAGTTTGGACTGGTATTTCCACGAAACCTTTACATACATACAGGAATTTTATAATTTTATAGAGTGCAGCATGTTCCCGTAGCACCTATTCTCCTCTTCAGGCTTTAAGTGAGAGTACCTGTCGGGACCATGGCGCCCATGCCGCGCCTCCGCCACCGCAGCCTCTGCCAAGAATGCAGGTATGTCTTTAGACTGCTCTACGTTCTAAAGCGCCTTAAATTGCTTATCTATTATGTGTTAACTGATGTTTCATTTGATTTGTTTGTTAGTCTGTGAAAAAGACGCTAGTTTTGGCCTGTCGTTTAAATGTTAATTCGAAGATTTAATTTCTTAGAACATTTTGGATTATGTTGTTTATCAAAATACATACATAAATAAATAATATCCCTAAAAAATAATATATCAGAGCTTATGCTCAATTGGACCACGTAAGTTAAAGGTATAATTGAAATAGACAAAAAATAAGTCATTTGACAATGTACATGGATATGATATATAGAACGCGAGTCAAGACAGAAAGTAAACTGACAAAAACTCAAAAATATAAACGTCAATTTAACAACAAATTATTTATTTTTTAATTCAATACTATGGTAGTATAATATTAATTTTTGTTTCCTTAATATAGGTGTCAAATCAAAACGTCACCCTACACCCTGCAGTCGCGAGATGTACAGCCTCCTTAGAGCTTGCTGCCCTCTGGAGGAGTTTTCACGAACTCGGTACAGAAATGATAGTAACTAAAGCTGGCAGACGAATGTTCCCCGCGTTGCAGGCGAGGTTATCTGGTCTTCTACCCAATGCCGACTATTTGTTGCTAGTGGACTTTGTACCGTTGGATGATAAGAGATACCGGTATGCATTTCACAGGTAAGTTGATAGCCTTCAATATATATATATTAATAGCTGGTGCCCAAAATTTCGTCTGCGCAGCCTTGCGATCCTGGCGATAAGGAGGGAGCTTGTAGTTAATTGTTTATCAGAATGCCAAATCGTAAAATGACTGCTTTACGACTGATTTGAGCGCGACCGCCGCTGCGAAAACCGCTGTGAGAGTTCGAAAAGTGAGTTACAGAATCGCAAGGCAGGATAAAAATAAAATCTGTTCAAATGTTGTAGCGTGAAAGACATATTTTATTTAGGTACTTTACGATACCAGAAGCGGTAAAAGTATATATTTTCATTTAGGAATCAATTTATTACTACCAGTGCATTTGAAATAAATTATCGACACTTTCGAGCAAATGTTAAATGCGCACATAGAAAGAAAGTCCATTGGTGCACAGCCGGGGATCGAACCCGTACCCATCTCAGGTATGAGAGTCGCACGCTGAAGCCAACATTGCTCAATAGAAATTTACATCTTTTTATTCTATAGTTCAAGCTGGGTCGTAGCGGGAAAGGCGGATCCAGTGTCGCCCCCTCGGATCCACGTTCATCCCGATTCACCCGCCGCCGGCGCGCATTGGATGCGGCAACTTGTCTCCTTTGACAAGCTTAAGTTAACCAACAATCAGTTAGATGATAATGGTCATGTAAGTACTGATGTCTCTTCGATAATAACTTAGCAAGAAAGCTCATATTTAATTTAATACTATATTTATTTCACACATATACATATAACACACAAATCGTCATGGTCGTAAAACAATGTCGGATTCGAAAAAAAAACAAAATCCACTTTTATCATATTTTGATACTACATTGACTAAATATTACGGCTTTTAAAAAAATTCCATGTGTTTTAAATTTCAAATTAATAACATACAGTCGGTAAATTGACGGATTCGATGGACGCTCACAGAAGCATTTTTCTAGAAAACTGTGTAATTTAATGTTATTTATTTTTATTTTGTTTTAAAACAAACCCTTTTGTTTGCTTGTATGCCAATTTTCATAATAGCAATATGAATTAAGAAAGGTATGACAATAAAACTAACATGATTATATATTTTGAAATGACTGCCCTGTAAAGTTTACTATATGTCAGATCCGTCACTATTCTACGACTATGACGAAGTATACAGTATTTACAATATTCTTAACAACCACTCTTCTTATCCTATCCAACTGATTTTGTTCCCATTGGAGTCGCTAGGCGCTAATTAAAGATTTAAGTTGGCGCCTGGTTGATAGTACCGGTGACCCCAGAGCTGGTGCTTTCCTTAAGGAATAAGTATCGCAATACAGCGAGGAAATGCTGCCAGCATTAAAGGTACCACAGGTACCAAACTTTTTAAATAAACTTGTTTTAATTTTCTATTTATTAATTTTTTATTATTATTATTACTGTGTAAGTTAAGAATATTGTAAATACTGTATATTTAATTAAATAGACTTTTTATAAATAAAAGGATTTCTTTTATTTAAAGCTATTTCGGGAATATAAATTATTGTACAAAAAAATCATAATTGTACTCTTTTAATTAAAGTCTTATGTCTCTTTTCATCACAGCATAAACACATTTTGACAGTAAGAGACAAAAAAGTACTTTAGTTAAAGTCCAATTGGACTGACGAGTTTTTGGTTAAGGGATTAACATTATCTAAAGCGCGTAATGAATAAAGAAATTTGACAAATCCACAGATAATACTCAACTCAATGCACCGCTATCAACCACGTCTTCACGTGGTCTACTTGCCTGGTGAAGGGCAAAGCGCGGCGCCGGGGACTGTGCCTTATAGGACATTTATCTTCCCCGAAACGGGCTTCACGGCTGTCACTGCCTATCAGAACCATAGAGTAAGTCTAACAGGGCTGTAATAATCTATATAAATAAGAGTGAATCGCAAAATATGTTGCTAAGTGCTCGAAGGCGGACCAATTCGAGTTTTTTTTTTAAATTATTCCTTGAACTCTCAAGTTTTTATGAAGATAAAGAAAAATAGTGTAGTAGTTAGGTTTTTATTTCGGAAAAGCGTTCAGGCAAAATGTTCCTTATCTTTTTTATGTTGATGTTACTAAAAAGGTAAATTAAATAAGGCGAAACGAAGTTCGCGAAGGCTCGCAAGTCTCCATAGCAATTTAATTTATATAAATATCTGCGTGTGATTTTGATTTAGGTAAATATCTGCGTGTCTCAATGCTCATTTTATCGTAATCGTTGCGATTCGAAACCAGGACATGAGCCCTCACTCTATAACATGAAAACAGTAGCATCAATTCTCTCGATATCTGTAACGCTAATGTAAAGCGTAATTTACAGAGTAATTCTCTCTGGTATTACCTATTATGGCGCGAAGACGTTTTATTTTTATTTGGTATTTTGAAACACATGTATTGTCTCTTCTTGATTTTTTTACTCTATTTACATAACTCGACGCTTCGAGTGCCCTTCCACAATATTTGTTAAGTGTCTCTGGCTAGAAGTATTTTAAATATGAAATTTCGTTTCAGATAACGCAATTAAAAATAGCAAGTAATCCATTTGCCAAAGGGTTCCGGGATTGCGATCCAGATGATTGGTAAGATAATTATTAGTGTTTATTCCAATATATGCTAAAATCTTGTTTTCCATAGTTTCAAGAAGTTTTTATGATATATGTATATATAAGATATTTAAAAATTTAGCACTATAGCGTCGTAGCTAATGGAGACTCTTAATACTCATTTCACTTGCCATATGTATATTACACGCGGCGGCGCTATTTTATTTCAGAATTATGATGAAATCACAATCATCAAAAGACAAAAACGTTCCATACACGTCGAGTGTAATAAACAAAGGAAACGTCAAATTAACCACAGTCACAAATAAAAACCATGAATCAATTATTCAACCATACGTAAATAATTAAATACAAAGTAATTTTAAGGCACATTTCACCAGCCGGTGACAATTTGGTTTTACGAGCGCGCGTAGAGTAAAGAGTTAGGTGACAGTTATGGCGGACATGTCATCCGTTCCCGCCAAAACAAACATCTGGGTGTAATTGTAAAACTATTATTTAGAAATTATATGCCTGGGTTATCTATAGCCACAGGTATCTTTTAAACAATTATATTTGAATGGTGTAGAAACTTTTTTTTATAATTTTCAATGAAACATAAAGACACTGTACGTTTCATATACTATTTACTTCTATTACATTCGTAATTTAATAAGAGTGAATGGAACGTGAATAATATTTCAAGTGTGATCATCTTTATGAAAATTTCACTGCACAATCTTTAGATGAATATTTTAAATTTTTACCCGAAGAAATTGTAAAATTTTCTAAGAACAGTATGGTCAAAAAGCTTTAGCCTGGTTTGAAGGCAAATAGAAAAAAAAATCACCGACTCTATTGTTTTGATTAGAAACTTTAAAATGCACTTCGATAACAATAAACATAATATGTTTTATATATCATCTGTATCATATCTCTTAAAATGGCGTAAAGAGGCCTATGTCTGGACCGTTTATCATGCACATAAAATATAAACAGCTACTGCAGTTGTAAATCACGTAGTTGTTTACGTTAACAAGCAAAACCATTGGTGGGCTGATAATATAATTTAAATGTAAACTTGTTCTCACGATGCAGATGTTTACGACTATCTGTGTTCTTTCTGCGTCCAATGAAAAGTGCGGGGATTATACCTACGGCCTGCAATCTATATTAGTTTTATCTTTATTTAATTGTTTTCACTAAAGTGCTCATGCGTAGTCAAATTGTTTATAATCTGATAGAGGTGTGGAGGAAGGTGCTGTGGAGGAGGGTCCTTCCTTAGCCACTGACTGGCCCGAAGGCCACAGTGCCTAATATTGAGAAGTTGTCTAAGCGGTCGGAATAACATTGTTAGCGCGTTTAAGGGTGACGTCATTACAGTGATTGTAGCCATAGATTGTAGATGTTGCTACTGATCGTTTTAGTTGACACATTGCAATTAGACAGCTATGTAGTTGTTATCTATGAATACTGGGGTAGCCATCCTATGGATGATCATATAATAAGTATAAAACTCCGTCTTTGTCAATTGGAAACGTGAAATATGAAGCGTTATATTATTTTGGTAATAATTATTCGCAAAAATGATATTTAAATATAAAAAAGACCTTTTCACTAAAAAACAAAATATTGTTTATGATTAGTTAAAAATTAGATAAAATATTAATCCACTTAGTAATTTCAATACTGTCGCACCGTTTACCTATCATCTTAACATTGTAATGCATTTATTATAATATTGTAGTGAATGTCGACGATTCGGTGGACGGAGACATTGTGACCAAATTGTGTTCCACATCATTGTTTGTTTTATTTAAAAAAAAGAAAAAAAAAAAGTATTAGTAAGAATTGGTTACACGTTTAAATTGCTGATTTTCATAAACTCTTGCTAATGCAACATAAAAAAAACAATAATTATCAACAATGTGTTCACATATTTCTCGTAAACGCATTCTAAAATTGTTTATTTTGCTAAAGAAAGTGATTCATTATTCGTATAAGTTTGGATAAACATATAAGTCATTAATTATATTCAGCAAAAAATGAACCGCCATGTGTGCGAAAAGTTACGCGTGAAGGGTGGCCAACATTTGTGTATTTTTATAAACGTATTGTGGTGTTTGCCTGTGGCTTCAGCGTGCGACTCTCGATCCCGATGGGATCCGCTGGGCACCAATGGAATTTCTTTCTATGTGCGCATTTAACATTTGCTCGAACGGTGAACAAAAACATAGTGAGGAAACCGGATTAGACCCAAAAACATCGACAGTGTGTGTCAGGCACAGGAGGTTGATCACCTACTTGCCTATTAGATCGACAAATGATCATGAAATCCTCCAGCGTGTTCAGTCTTGAGCCTCATATTCCACTTCGCTCCAAGTCCTTCCGGCTCTCTTTGCCTCATCTGGAAGAAAGCCAGGTTTGCTTAGAATGGCCACGCTTTACTTCCGGGTTCCAATCAGCGCCTGTTTTGTAATTGGAATCTCTTTTTCGTGTATGGCCTATGTATTTCCAACACAACGTTTATTAATGTCCTGTACTTTATTACATTACGATGAGATTGATATTTCTGCGTTATATTTATTTTTTCTGTACTTTATTGTCCGTGTTACCATCTACAATAATTTTACCGCCAACTGCTAAACAATGTAGCTACAATACAATATAAAATGCTTAAAATATATTAACGAATTATGTAGGTTAAATTAAATTTGAGAATCTTATAAATATCTTAATTATGGTAATACTACTACGTTTTCCTAGTAGGTGAGATTGATTAATAACACCGAGAGTTATGAACGTCATTTGTCGTTCCTTGTCAAAATAAAATATTATCGCCGTAATTTGACCCCGCCTCTATTTAAATATGGCTTCATAGATCGGTATATTAGCCGAAAAGTTATACTTTTTCTAATAATTTATTTAGTATTTATTTCCGACTCACAAATATACAATATACCTAAGCTATGTAGGTAATAATAATAGTTAAAAATTGATTAATAGAAAATTTAATGAAATTTCAAAAATTTGGTCCCTGTGGCAGTGTACCTTTAACGCTGGCATAGGAAGTGCTTTCCTCGCTGTATCGCGATACACGTATCTATCGTTAAGTGAGGAAAACATCAGCTCCTCTCTCTCTGAGAACAAGGCCTCCTGGTAGTTTTGCGAACGGATGGCGTAGTCTTGCTCTTTCGCGAATTTTGTAAACGTTTTTGACATTCATAAGCATGCCCTAAGACGCATCTAAACTGAATAAACGTATTTTGATTGATTGATTTGATTGATTACTCACCAGGGTCTAGTATACATAGTATATATGTATACTAGAATCATTTAAATTGTTTGAATTTGATAATGAATGTTTAGTCATAACACTCATAACGTAGCATCCAAAGGACTATTATTTCAAACAATTTTAAAACTAAAAAATATCTGTTAATCAAAAATTTCCTCATTTCAGTCCCCCTGACCAAAGCCCACAAAGGAGTGTGCCTCGGAGACGAGAGCCCCAACAAGCCGAGCCCTACTCATTAGCGCAGCCCTACGCGGCTGACCCTAGCTCTAGTGGACCCTTGTACCCTGCGCACGCGCATCCTGTCAGGTAAACGTCTAAAGCAAGTTTTTTTTAAATAAATCGTCTAAACGTTAAGGACCTATCCTTTGGGTGGATATATTTTGTTAATGATAAAATATATATTTTATAAAAGTTCAAGAATGTTATACCTACTCTTAGAATTTGTAACTATTGGGTGTTTACAATTGTATTGTATACAATTAACAATATACGTGGGTTATATAACCCATAATAGTGTATTCAATTTTGGCTTTTAAATTAATAAAAATATATGATAGTGTGAAAAATAAAGTGTTATTAAGAGAAATCTGTATAAAACTATATAGTAAATAATTATGGAGGTATCAAGAAATGGATGATTTAAAATATTAATTTTTAAATGTCGATCTACGTCGTACGAGCCGAACGACCACTAAATTTCACCAGCATCATCTTGATGGTTGGAGGTCTTCCACAGTCCGTTTCACAAGGCATTTTCTTTTGCGAACTAGCGAACTGTGGAATCGGCTCCCGGGGGGGGTCTTCCCTCAGAGATACGACCTCCAAATGTTCAAAAAGCGAGTCTACTCCTCCCTCAAAGGCCGGCAACGCACCCACTAAAAATGGGTGTCTATGGGCCGCGTGACTGCCCTATTATATAAAAAAAATGTGTGCGTGTACTAGGTGTACACACGTAAGAAGTGAAACTTCTTTATGACCTTATTAGAAACTATTTCTTTAAACACAGTAAATTTTGATACACTGCCTAGCATACAATTTACAAATTAATTGCTGCAAATTGCGATTAGCAAATTTCAAGTCGAAAATGTAATCCGTTGTCAAACTTCAAAGTCAAAAACATACTATATGTCATATTTTAACGCCGATAAAGAAGTTTGACTTCGAAAAGCAACATGGCGCGTAACGGAAAAATGTGACGCGTAACGCAAAAATGTTACACTAAATTTTTTTCCAACCTCGATAAAGAAGTTTCACTTCAAAAAAAATAGAATTGACACAAACGGTCCCTCGTCGAATCAACAATGACGTACCATGCCGATCTTCCGGGTAGATCTTTTCTCACCAAATTCAAGAAATAGAGTCCCAAATACCTATAGGCTATAGGTATAAGATCTGCGCTGGCGCTCCGTAGTTCCCAATAGCGATAGTAATCTAAATTTTATGTTGAGTTTTTCATACTACGCGATCTAGGTTGCATCAGCACACGCATTGAAAGAACGTCATTGCCATGTGATGAAAGTAACAGCGTAACGAAACTGTTGCAGCAATGTCACGAGGATAGGGGCCGTTCAAGTATTACGTTTATTATATATTTTATTATTATTATATATTTTATTACCGTGGGGTCATCAAAAATAAGAACATCAAAGACCCCCCTACCGCCCCCTATTGTACTTATGTAATACTTGACCGGCCCCATAGATAGAACTTACCAAATATCGTAAGTATTATCTTTTAATCCCCGGCCTCTTTACCAAATTAACATTATTATTGTTGCCTAAAAACGTATGGTATTTTGGATATAGAAACCGGGCGTATTAAGTATTAAATTTTATATAAATGTGTAATGTGGTTTCAGATACCAGCCGCACGCGGGCCACAATAGCGCCTACTCAGCGTATTACGCCCATAGATAAACTTAAATAAAATTATATATAAGTATGTGATATAGATTAAAGACAGTATAAGACGTTAAATTATTAATCCAAAGATCCAATTTAATTTCATAAACGATTTTGATATAGGCAAATGTAACTTACAATCTTGAATCTAGGTTCAAGCTATAAGAATTGAGAAATATTTTGAACATAGACGAAGTTCTGACTTGCGATTCTGTACCTCGCGTAACTCGTGTAACGCGCTCAAATCAGTCATTTTATGATTGTGTGCCGTGTGAGTTCGAAAAGTGAGTTACAGAATCGCAAGGCTGAACTTTTAAGATCGAAGAAAATCTGATTATACAAGAAAAATTAGGACAGGTGACTTTTTTAAAACACTTTTATTATTGTGTTACGTTAAACAATTTTGTCTTGTATTTTTACATAGATTCTCAATTTGATAAGGAGCTTAATAAATGGTTTCGATATAGGAAAATGTAAATTAAATCTAGGTTCAAGATATCATAGCTTTTAAGAATTGAGAAATTTAAACCTTGAAAACCTAAAAAAATCTGATTTTATAACTTAAGAAAAAATAGGACATGTGACTATTGTAGAACAAATAATGTAAACACTAATATAAAAAATGTATTGTTTTGTTTTAAGTTAGGGAGCGTTCAAGTATTACGTCACGCAATTTTTGGAGATTCTTGACCCCCCCCCCATGTAACGCGCCGTAACGTTTTTCTGTACCCAATAGTAAAACGTTTCGTGACCACCCAGTGACTCTTTATACCTAAAAGTTACCATTATATGGTGTATAGTACTGGAAAATCGAAAATAATATTAACAATAACGCGTAATTCAATCCCCGCATCGTAACGTTTTACAAGAGGACCCCCCTCCCAAAATTCGTTACGTAATACTTGAACGCTCCCTTAAACAAATTTGTCTTGTTTATTCACAATATCAAACCAAAATGTAAAGATTCAGAAACTACTAAGACTCCCGTATGACAATCCCACGTTTTTGACATCCGGGACTCACAATAAGTCTTGTATCAATCTTACTCTTACGTCCTTATTCTTATTACTATCTCAAGTCAAAAACTCAATTGATAGCTCTTAAAACTAGAGTATTGTTATATTTAATATATTCTTCTTCTGAAACCGACTGAAGAAGAGTCTCACTGTGTCGATAAAATCCGAGGCACAAAACAATGTTTTTGTTTGTATGTTTGTAACCGTGAAAAATTGAATTTTCTAGTAATATATTCCTTTCTGTAAATGTACCTTATTGTAAAGAATGGTAATTATAATATAAACATATGAACATTGATTGTAAACCCAAATTGTAAGGTATTGCGACCAAAGATAAACCAAATATAATTTTAACATGTTTAATATTTATTTAAATAAATGTACATATAATATATTTTTTATTTTACTTGAAAGCCTTGTATTTTAAGTTAAAGAGTCGAGATGACTCTTATTACGACGGAGTTCGTAAATATTTCCGGAAAAGACTGAAAAATATAAATCAAAAAAATATAAATAAACAAGGTATTTCCTAACATAATATTCCTAATAATTACATAAGCAAAAAGTAGTATTGCATTTGCTGTGGGATTGTTTCAATATGTGGCTTTTTAAAATGCGATGTTTCAGCTACGGAATATGTCGTGACATGATTCACGCTCATGGTACCAGGCTCATCATCTTCTTTCATGCTAATTTTAGAGGACACAGTCTCCTCTATCTCTTCACCAACAAATTCTGGCTCTGCTTCTATAGGTTCTAATAGAACTGATGACATGGGCTCAACACCACAGTATGGATACAATTCTTGCACTGGTGTATAGGAAACTGCGTCATAAAATGTGGGTTTTGGTGTGACAGAGCAATAATGTGCTGGTTCGGAATAGTAGTTGTATCGAGAAAAGTAGTCATCTTGTTTCGGTTTAGCAGGAATGGAACTCATTTTATTTGGCGTGGTTTCTCTCGCCATTGTCTGGTTACTTCTCGTTGTATTATTAACATCACAAATATCTTGCAATATAGAAGTTAATTCTTTAGCTTGGTCGGTACCAGCTAGAGCTAGATCCGATAGAATTTCTGGATCAGCTTTGAAAGGGATGTTGTATTTATCTGCGATTTCTTGAGCGCTCATCATTTTCTCAATTGCAATATTTTGATAATCATTATTAGACTTAATATGTTTTAATAGACGCATTACCAATTGTGTCGAGTCCATTGGTGTTTCGGCTGATCGTTTTTTCCTTAATTTATTACCCTCTGGTCCATCAGTTGCTGAAACAGCGTATGACAAAAGATTAACCATTTCAGTTTGTATCGCCATTGTTATTTGGTTAGCCATTTCTTTTATTTCTTCTAATTGCTCTTCCGGAGGTTTGTCTGATTGGACAGCTTGGGCCATCAGAGTTGCTGATGGAGATGGATAGACAGGCGTAGAAGGTCCTATTACAACATCCATCCAATCGAGAGGTGCTTTTTGATAGTCTTTAACAACATCATCACATTTTGGTGTTTCTAGAATTGTGTCATTATTTTTAACAGCATTTATATCATCTGGCTGTGCTACTATGATCTGCAACAAAAGTTTAATTTAAAATAGCAATAGTATTACCATTGGTATTAGTATTACCAATATAAATTAAAAATACAAAAACATACCTGTGTTATTAGGGCTAATGTTAAGTAGAACAGTGTCATTGTGGTGATAATATGTTGATTTCGGTCCGCACTTCATGTTTTATATTAAAGTTATCTTTAGTTAACAAATGATTGTGTGGAACTCTTATGTAACTATTATCGTTAAAAATATATATAATCAGGATTGCAGTGTAAAATATCAATAACAATGCAATAAATTTCAAAATAGTTTTAATGTGCAACTTAGCTACTGATATAATTTAAGAAACGTAAACTAAATTACAAGGTATAATGAGGAGGCGGATATTCATAGGGCCGTTGATAATGTGGATAAGTTGGAGGGGGGTACGTTGCAGGGGGGTAGGTTGCAGGGGGGTACGTAGCCGGCGGGTACGTTGCAGGGGGGTAGTTTGGATAGGGGTATGGAGGTCTATAGGAGGGATATTCTGGAGGATGGATAGAGGAATAATCATAAGTTGGAGGTGGATAGGGATAAGTGACAGGAGTAGGTGGTATCGGTGGGGCAGGAGCAGGTACAGGGGTGGGTGGATTGTAATACTGGTAGTATTGTTCGTAGGTCCATGGTTGGGAAAACTCAGGTTGAACTACTGGTTCATTCCCGTAATATGTGGCTGGCGATGGGATGTAGACCACTGGTGGCGGATAAGAATAATGTGATGGTTCTTGAGGTGAAGATAATTCCGGGGTTGAGGTACTGGGTGGTGTAGTTGTTGTTGGTGGAGTCTTTGGGAATAATGCTGAAAAGAAGTGAAATTAAAATTAGTCTATTACCTTAAAGATATAACGAAGTTAAATATCGTATGATGCATTTACATAGATTCGTTATCAAACAAAATATTTACGAAGAATTTTTTAATTTGTTTCTGTTATAAACGTTAATATTAATATTTTTTACTGGGAAAGCTTAATGGGAATGCAATCCATTAGTGAAAATATCAAGGACTTCGCCAAATAACCATCGAGGCGGTTCAAATTACAATCAAATCAGCAAAATATTGTTTACAAATATCGAAATACTTACGTGACGAGTATAGTGTGCTAAGCATGTGATTCATGCGTTCGTGAAGAGAGGCCAACTGAAATCATTAATTAATTGCAATTTAAATTATAAGATAATGTTCCATTTTTGAATCTATTAAATAACAAATATAAAAAAAAATACTTTTTTTATTTATTTGTTGGTCAGCTAACAGAAGTTACTTAAAAGTAATAATACACCTTAAGAAGTAACACTGCATGCATATTAATAAACTATAATAAAAATCAAGCTTAGTTATAAATAGATTTAAAAAATAACGTGATAATTTAGTTTTGTAAGTTAAAATGAATACGACACTGGGACAAGAAAAGAGGATAAGATATATCTATCGCAAACTTATGTTCATTCAGAAGTCTTCATACACGCGGTATAAACAACTTCACACCTTGATTTCGACTTTATCATCTCGCATATATGATGTTCAGACGTTGTCAACGAATGACTATTCTAGTTAAGTACCTATTAGGTATTAGTTTTCATCTAACGCATATTTGCTGCTAAAGAAATTGAAAGCCAAATGGATGACATGATTGCAGTAGGGCATTCAAAATACATTTTTATAATCGTAAATTCTAAATTAACGAACACAAAATAAACACCAACAATATCCGAGAATAACAAACTTATAGCATGCCAACACGGAATGGAAAGAAACATGGTCGAAATAAGAAAAGCTGATAGATAGAGAAACCAGGATCTTAGATAGTATACGGGATATTCTAACGCTCTTTAGAAGCTGATATGGAAGTGGACTGGGCAAGTTATAAAAGGTAGTAAGGACAAATGGTCTTGTCATCTAACAAAATGGCGTCCACGTTACGGAAGTGGTCATGATCACATAAGCTATGGGACGACATATTTATAAATATGATGGGAAAATGATGGCGGCGGCGCAATGAAAGCGAATGGAGAAGAGTGGAGGAGCCCTTTGCAACTTGGTAAGCGGATGAGGAGCTGATACTATCATTAGAATAAGAGCTAGTATTGGAAATACTTTATTCTCCGAATAAAAGGCTTTATTATTATTACATATTATTAAATTAATTAGACGAGTTAATTCCAATGGAGATTTAGATGCATCTTTCAATGTTTGATATAATCGTTGAACTGGTACAATATTGGCAAAGATAGAAGCACCTGGAGGCCTATACCCAAGAGGGGTGCATATCCATAGGCGACTAACAGGCACTTACAGCTATAGTACTAACAACAGTAAGTTATACTAACAACATTTGAAATGGAAATTAAGGAGACGGAAATTAATTATGGCTTCATTATTATTAGTTGAACGATTTAATTCGACTTTTAACGTCAATATAACTTACGTGCGATTGTTGCACTTCATGGCAACTACTTGTTGCGTCACTTGCGACGAATATCGCACTTAGTGCAATAATAATATTTAACATTGCGCTTTCTTAGTCCCATTAAATATTTTCCATCAAACAAACATTTTAAATACTCTCAATTATCAGTATACGTGTTCGGAAGCTGTGTAGATAACGTTTGAAATTGTGATAATGCTTGTATCTCGCGCGTGAGAAAAATCAAAAGATGGTTTTCAATTAATTTTGATAAAAGTGTTTATTGATGTTGAATTTTATTCTTGAATATTTCCTCAATAAAAAAAATTAGTGGTCACAGATATCAGTTTTCTGGTCTTTTTTTATTTCTTAATAGGCATGTAGGTTATCAGCTCCGTGTACCTGAGTCACTTCGATTTTTAGGTCTTAGACAAGACTTTTTTTAGGTCCCTTATAATACTTCCTCTACCCCGTACAAACGAGTGTTGAATGCGGTCAAAGAATTAGAAGTACATTGGTTCCTATGCTTTCTCATAGAGACTAGACATCCCCTTCGCTTTTCCAGAATAAAAACCTAAGTAATAAACAGTAATAAAAGTAGCAAATAAGTTTTTTTTTTCAATTATTCTATACATATAAACCTTCTTTAGAATAAATAAAAGCGTAAAAGCAATAAAAGCAGCATATTTAGCGATTTATTTTTATTTATATAGATTTTTTTCTATATTCTAAACCGCGTATTAATAAAAACTAAATAAGTGTAACAGCCCTGCGATTCTGTAACTCACTTTTCGAACTCACACGGCGGTTTTCGCATCGGCGGTCGCTCTCAAATCAGTCGTGAAGCAGTCATTTTATGATTTGGCATTCTGATAAACAATAAACTACAAGCTCCCACCTTTTCAGAATGCCAAATCATAAAATTACTGCTTCACGACTGATATGAGAGCGACCGCCGATGCGAAAACCGCTGTGTGAGTTCGAAAAGTGAGTAACAGAATCGCAGGACTGAACTCTTTTAACTGAAGTACTTTTGTCAAAATTTTGTTAACGCCGCGATGAGAATGGTACTTTCGATAAAACGGTGCAATAAGACTTAATTATGGGGTAAATAAATTTAAAAACAACGTTAAGGATAAATAAAAGACAATTTTTATACATTACGTAAGAATATTTTTATTTCCTAATTTAACAGAATAATAGCAAAAAATATAATTATTAATTATCTCATAAACAATTCGTCATGATCGTAAAACACTGACGGATTTGAAAAAAATCCATAGTCCACTTTTTATCATATTTGGATATTACATTGACTAAATATTACGTTTACATTTAAAAAAAATTCCATGTGTTTTAAATTTCAAATTAATAACATAAAGTCGGTAAAGTGACGGATTTATAAGACGCTTACAGAAGCATTTTTCTAGAAAACTGTGTAATTTAATGTTATTATTTTTATTTTGCTTTAAATCAAACCCTTTTTCTGCTTGTATGCGAATTTTCATAATAACAGAATATGAATTAAAAAAGTTATGCCAAAAAACTAACATGATTATATTATTTTGAAATGGCTGCCCTGTAAAGTTTACTATAGTTCAGATCCGTATTCTAGGACTATGACGAATTTTAGTTTAGACGTGAAAACAAAGCGTCATCTAGATACTACGTGATGTTTAAGAATCAAATATGTCCTGTTTATTCTTCGACGCTTTACGCTTTCCCAATAACAGTTCAATTCCTAGTATTATAACAGAAAGAATAACTGCAGCCATTGTTAGTCCCAATAAGGGTGTGACGTCATAAATGTTGACTCGTTCAGCGAGCAGGGCTGCGCGGCAGGGAGGTGGTTTTATTCGCAGTCTGGATACGAGCTGTTTGGCCAATCCAGTCTCATGCAGCCAGGCACCCGAGGATTTTAACACTTCTGTCCATTGACCGCGTTTTGTTGATGTAATCCATGATAGAGTCTGCAATATCACATATTATTATTCAATGTGTTGGTTTTGGGTTTGATATCTAGTTTTATCTTTATATGAGAAAGTCTCGTTTGATCTTTTAAAATGTAACTTAAAAATAACATTATCGTTTTTTTTAAATATAGATAGGCAAACGATATAGGCCTATTTTTAGTGGGTGCGTTGCCGGCCTTTGAGGGAGGTGTACACTCGAACTTTGAATAGTTGGAGGTCGTATCTCTCCGGGAAGACCCCCACCGGGAGTCGATTCCACAGTTCGCTAGTTCGCAAAAGAAAGTGCCTTGTGAAACGGACTGTTTAAGACTTCCAGCCATCAAGGTAATGTTGATGAAATTTTGCATTGATACGGCTCGTACGGTGTTGAAACGAGACAGGAGGGATCAACCCAAACAATTCTTCAGAACACTTTGGTGTAAAATGGGGTACCGGTGGGGGTCTTCCCTGGGAAATAAGACCTCCAATTGTTTAAAGAAAGAGTATAAAGGGCGGCAACGCACGCAGTAAAATGGGCGTCCCGTAGGCTCGTTTGCCCCCCATCACATAAAAAAATGAAATATAAATTAATAATACATATATTAGGTCAGACAACATTTTTTCTAAGAATAAAACACTACTTTACTTATTACGATCTTTTATTAATATTTTTTTATCTAATATAACATAGGGAAGTTAAAATGTAGTTAACTCGTAGATATATTTTACCAAAGCTATCTAAACGTTCAAGTCATTCATTAATTTATTATATAATAACAATAATTAACTGCTTTAACATGTGATGAGGAGCAAGATGGAAAAAACTGGCAATTTAAAAGAGAGACGGAGAGTTTATAGCCAGTACTTCTCGTCCGTTCTACGCCCTTGGTTTGAGATTGCAGTAAAAATTTAAATTTACAACCATTTATATTTACCTGATATTCATAATTGTACAATAAAATACAGTGAACAACAGATATTTAGATTTAGATTTAAAATCATAAAAGATTTATGATTTTAAATCTTTTATGATTTTAAATCTCTTACCTCTGGAACTGTGTCAATATACTGCAATTTGCACAGCTGATCGTCGGTAAAAGTGCTTAAATGTGGGTAGAGCTGATTGTACTCTGTATGGTAAGCGGTCTGACCAGCTTGGATCAGCCTCACCCCGTCTCTGATATCCTGGTAGAATTTTGACGTAATTTTCTTTCGTTTTAAATATTCTAGGTCATCCCAGTTGGTTGGTACCTATTTTTTTAAAACTACAATAATATTATTTAATTTTGTAATTAAGTTATACTTCTTTTGGCGCGTTAGGGAAAAATTATGAGAGTAAATTTTTACGACGCGTGCCGTGCCGTGAAAAAACCGACACCCTGAAGTTAGCATAGTCAACAAATAAAAAATGTCCATTTCTTTAATTATGTAGAAATATTTTTTTGTGATATTTAAATAAATTTATTTAACTTGATAATGCGTTATAATAAAACTTTCAATATAATTAATACCTTTTTTCAATTGTTGGAGGCTACCTACTTGCCTATTAGATTAAAAAATGATGAAACAGATACAGGAATCTGAGGCCCACCCCTAAAAAAGTTGTTGCGCCACTGATTTATTTATTTATTTTAAAGTATGTTTGATAAAATCACTATTATTTCCTTGAAATGATCAAAACTCACATCAAACATCAAATACCGCATATAATCATAGTCCTCTGACGCAATCGCGTATCTAGAATCACCAAGGGATTTCAATGAATCCGGTCCACTCCTCCCAGTACTCATTAGAGTGGATACGATAGCTGATGTGTAGTAGGCATGGATTAGCATCGCGCAAATTGATAAAACAAGAAACGTCCAGCGTCCAGATATGCCTTGTGGAACTGCACTAGCATCTAGAATAGTATTTTTTAATTATTAACAAAAAATTGGATCATATACATCGTATGGCAGAGAGTGGCACAGTGCAGATATGAATGGCGGGATTTGGGGAGGCCGTTGCCAAAAAGGGGCACACAGATATTTTAAAAGAATGAGATGATAGAAATTTAAAAGTGTTTAAGTGTGATCTGAAATAAAAGGATATTATTACTATCCAAAAATCGTTTCGTGATTTTCTTATTGGTAAAAGCCAGCATTCTGTGCCTGACACTGGTCTAAGACAAGGTTTCCTCACGATGTTTTTTTCACTGTCTGAGCGAGTGTTAAAAACGCACATAGAATGTACATTGTTCACAACCGAGAATTGAATCTACGACCTCAAATGTATTATTATAGTTGTCCACATTGCGCAGTCAATTTACAAAATACATTTTCATGTCATATGTGACATGAGATAAAACCTCCTTAGATATCACAGCAGAAACATGAACTAATCCAAACTTGCTGGTAGAGAAAAACTTTTGATCGCGCCAATGTTGACTGATAAGTTCCAAAACATGCGAGAAAGTAATAGATTTAATAATCCTATTTCTAGTTGAATTTATTTATTTACATTCCTTACATTAATTGAAAAACAAATAACATCAAAATTATAAGGGATGCAACGGGCGGCCTTATCGCTATCAAGCGATCTCTTCCAGGCAATCCTAGTAAAGAAAAAACTAAAAAAGAAATATGATGGGTAAAGTGCAAGAAGTGCTTAACCAAATTTTATAAAAAAAAATAGAATCTCCAATAAACTAATAACTGATAAGCTAAAAGTACAAAAGAATAAGAAATACAAGAATCACAAAAGTCACGATAGAGCAGGGTAGGATATGGTTTATTAATGTATCTTATAAGTAAATTTTAAGCAAACCCTGTTGCAAGCAAGTCGCCAATACTGCAATGTAGGCGCCCTCTTTTTCCATCTCGCTCTTAGCGGTTACACGCTGCGCCAGGAACAAGATCACGAATAAAGCCAAACAGCACAACCAAACTGCAGCCGTGAAGGGCGCCACGAACATGTTATTACTGCTCTCACGCTCTGCTAGATAGGTAAAACCAACCCTAAAACATATCCTGAGTTAGTAATGAGACGTGTTGGCCCAGTGGCTTCAGCGTGCGACTCTCATCCCTGAGGTCGTAGGTTCGATCCCCGGCTGTGCACCAACGGACTATCTTTTTATGTGCACATTTAACATTCGCTCGTACGGTGAAGGAAAAC